CCTGAGAGGTGAGGCCCCAGCCAACGCGCCCGTGCACGCCCGCACTAATATTCAAGCAGCGGTCATCCCTCCCACCTGCAGCCGGCTCTTGACGACCAGCATTGGGTAGGTGCACAGCGTCGCTCCGACCTGCGCACAGCGGCGCATGCGTGTATCAGCGTCCGCGACAAAGCCTGCGCGACTGAAGCCCAGCCCCTCCCACTCCTCTTGCCTTGAAGAGACCATTATCCCTGCCCGGACCTCCTCCCCCCTTCTCCCCATGCCGTGGGGCGGGCGGTGATGGTAGCTATTGGGTATGGCGATGCTGCCCGCCATGCGAAAGCTGTGCATGCAGCAGATGCAGCAAAATGAGCCCGGTCCAATCCAGATACACTGTTGCTTGACGCACCACCTGGCTCGCACCTTTGCAAGAGATGACAGAACAAACACGTCAGCGGCCCCGATCCGCGGCTTCCGCCCGACGGCGGCGGCCGCGGGGCGCCGCAGCGCGCGCAGGCGGGCCACGAGCCACTCATATAGCACATACTGCGGCGGTCGGCCAGTATTGGGGTGTTTAGGTCGCTCGGCTGGCATTGTTGTGGGATGCTCACATTCGCAACGCAATCGAGCTCGGATCGGCTTTGGACGCTGCGACAAACATCCCTGCTTGGGGTCGCGGGCCCGCAGGCCGGCCCCGCTTGCGCAACCGCAGCGTGGCGCGGAGGGCGGGCAGCGCCGCGTGCCTGCTTGCCCCAGCTGCACCCCTCAAAGCGGCGTGCCCAGCCCGCACACCTGCGGAGGTGCGCCCCGGCGCCCCAGGTGCCGCCGCGCCCACCTGAATCGTGGGGTTGACCACCATCACCAGGCTCGGCCTCAGCCCCTGGTAAAAGCCGGCCAGCCCACGGTCTTGGTACAGCCGCACCGTCGTGCGCCACGCGCCAGACTCGCCGCGGGGCGGCTGCGCTGCGGCGCCGGCGGGGTCGGCGGGGTCTGCGCCTGGGGAGGGTGCGGGCCCCTTGCTGCGCTGGGCGGCCTGCATCTGGGTGATGACGACCCACCTGCGGCGCGGCGAGAGGAGGTAGGAGGCGGGGGAGAGTGGGAGGATCAGGGGCGGGGGAGGAGGGAGAGGCGAGGGG